GGATGCAAAAAATATGACATCGATTATATAATTACGATATGATGAACCTTTTTGAAAAACATGATGATCCTATATACGAAAAAATATGAAGCTTACGTATTTTGCTCAACTTCTTTGGACCAAAAGTCAGAATCGTTCAAGGTTGGACAGACGGTTTCTGTCGGTTAACAGTTATAGAACATAATGTGTTCAATTTACTGCTAAAATCAATCCAGCTATCTCGCGAATGTTGTATCGAATAATGTGCTCAGGATGCAACATAAACGGATGTCAATGCCTTTGAGCAGTTAAGTTAATCATGGCAGGGGACAGTCAATGTGTAACGAGAAAGAGAAAAATAAAGCTTTCTCTAGTAGGCAGACATAGTGTATGATTCATGTTCATTTATAAATGAATCTGTAAAGGCACCATGTCTCTCTGGCTGGTCCCATAACACTATGAATATAAGAAAAGGAGAAAAAAATCCTGTCATATTTATTTGACCAGTATATTAAGATAAAGGTTTCACATTCTCATCTCAAAACCTGAAATTTTAATATCGTCAGAACCACCCACTCTTCAAGATAACATTCTGTCTGACATCAAAACACATCTTTATATTTTAAATAAAGTGGGTGCAAGTGCACATTATTACACCTCAAAACATTATAATCAATCTTTGCTTAGCATCGCTTCACAAGGGGTAATAATCTGCTCCCCCACATACGTTGTGTGTCATTTACATTGTTAGATTCAATAGGCCCTAATTTATAACATACCATGCTTTCTCACTGCCATTTTTGGTTTAAGATAATTCATCAACAAGAACATATTCCCTATTTTGACCAATGAAATGCATAAAATTTGCATTAAAGATTATTTTCATATTTATAACACAGAACTAAAACAGAAAATTAAAAATGCTGTAGATTTTTAAGTATTATTCAAAATATTAAAGAATCAGACAAAGGGTTGGCACATCAACAATTTGATTTTGAACCCTTTTTTTCTGCTGTCAACAATAGAAAAAAATAAAATGTTTCATAAAATAAAATGTTTGACCTACCTACCCTACCTATTTTTTTGGAGGTGAAATAGGAAACACACTATTTATTTTGGCCTCATAAAGTAGAAGTTGAAAGTACTTGTAAATGATTCTAGTCTCTAGAACACTCCAGGAGTGTTATAATAAGACAAAATCACGAATTAACAATTGGGAAAGTTGTTTTTCATATTTACCTGAAGTTTGTATAGCATGTGTAAATAGAAAATAGTTACAGTGAGAGTGTGCGGAAAATCCATACTTCATAGTTACTACTAGAATACGACTATGAAGCTAAAACAGTTCTGTTCTTTAGTTAAATACTTTTAAATATATCCATAACATTAATATTTGAATGATCATCAGCTAAAACAAAACGCATTTCTCAATATGAAACACCAACACAGAACAAATAACGGATTACGTTTTATAGATTGTATTGCATAAGCTGGTTCCCGGCTGATTCATATACTTTTTTCATTCCGGTAAATATAAGCAAATTCCAGTTTATGTTTTGCAATGCTATGAAAAGAAATGAGTAATTTGTAATGCAGCATTTGATTTTGATATTATCAGTTAATTTTGGATTTTGAATCAAAATTGTATATTAATATGGATTAGGTAAGTTATCAGTTTTGAAAATTATAAGGGTGCCCTCTACATTTTCAATAACACATCTCCATTAATCCTGATAAGGAGTGTACATGGATTCAACTATACCCTCCCAGCAATCTAGGGGTGATCTGTTCACGGAGGGATCTTGGTAAATACATACAGACATACATGGCGGAACGTAAATAAATCTTACGAAATCGAGTTTATCTCTTATTTCTTGCTTTTAGTACTCTATAATCTGCCCCCTTGCCTGTCAATATCAATTTTGGAGACAAAAACGAGGACTAAACAAGCCTCATTATGTAATATTCTCTTTCTGAATCATACAAAATACCCATTTCTAATGGCGATTTCAAACCAAGCCTGCCTATAAACAATCAAAGACTGGAGGAAATACCTCTAGGGGCATCAACCTTTTTGTATGTTACCAATCATCAGACAAATGGCTGATGCTGGAAGGCCAAGTAAGTCGTGTTGTACTACTCTTAAAATGACGAGCACCTTTCCACTCTTTGTTATGTTCCTGCAAAAAATGCATGCATATATATAAAGGAACACTAGCCAATAAAATGGGGATAAACACAGTTCGTAAGTAATATAAACATAGAACATGATAATACACAAAACAGATATCTAATTGAACAGAATTCAGGATCTGGGTTGAAATTGGTTTATCTGTAAAACAAGAGGCCACTTAACCCTTTCACCCCCAATACCGCTGCAGTCGTGATTGCAACAGCCATTCTTTTATAGCCCATATGATCCTCCATACTTTTTTAGAACTGTCCAAGCTGAATTGTGTTGACAGCATGGAGTTCATACAGTCTTGCAATTTATGGTCCATAAACTCTCCAGGTGTGTTGTTTTGAAAATATGACAACATTAATGCCCTTCTTGGAATCAACAATCGGAAAACTGTGAAAAGTAGCCAAAATCAGGTGGGGGTGGGAGTCATTGGATGCCCACTATGTTAATGGTATTGGTCATTGGTATTAACTGTTATTCTAAATGCATGCATGGGTAGTTCAGGAACACAAGGAGGTCACTGTTTTGTCAGAAATCTGTAAAAAACGGATATTTTGGCAGACCTGGCTTGCCATTAATCATTCCCCAGCACGACAACCAAGTCACATTTACTTCCAGTCAGCATGGATGTGTTGCTGTAACTACAAGGTAATAACTGAATGACAAAGAAACACAATTTGGTTAATGTCCCCCTCTCAAGGTCGTATTAAAATAAAAACAATTGACTGAAGATGACCATTTTTTAGCTGGGGTGGGTTTGTTAATCGTACTCAAAAGTTTTATGACTGCAAGACTTGGTCCAAAGCCAAGATTAAAGAGGAGGAGTCATTTATTATTACATATATCTAGATTTCTATGGGTTCTCATTTAAACTAGTATATATTATCATGATTATTGTATATTAGCACAAATGTTTTTTTTAATTTTTGGCACAATTGATTTTATAAAATTTAGAAATTTATTTTTAGAACATTATATAAGTACAAATGAGATAAATTGATGCTTTGATTACGAATTGGGCGCAATACAGAGACACTAACTAGTGCAACTCTTACTGTTAACGTCAAAGACTGTAACATAACTTAAGTATTAGTAACGTATTGTAATGTCATATCATTATTACGCTTATTGTATGCATAACTTCTCTAGTCAGTATAGTAAACAGAGATTGAATATACACATGTCTTTCTATTTTCACAAGCAAAGTACATTGTACTAACCAACTAAACCCAAACAGCCTTTTCTTGACTGATTGTTATTGTGGTTTTTGTCGAGCCTGCGACTTTTGTCGCAGAAAGCTCGACATAGGGATAGTGATCCGGCGGCGGCTACAGTGGCCGCGGCGGCGGCGTTAGCTAACTTCTTAAAAGCTTTATATTTTAGAAGGTGGAAGACCTGGATGCTTCATACTTTGTATATGGATGCCTCATGTTACGAAGTTTCCGTCAGTCACATGTCCAATGTCCTTGACCTCATTTTCATGGTTCAGTGACTACTTGAAAAAAAAGTTAAGATTTTTTGTAATGTTAAATTCTCTCTTATTATAAGTAATAGGATAACTATATTTGGTATGTGCATACCTTGCAAGGTCTTCATGTCTGTCAGACAGTTTTCACTTGACCTCAACCTCATTTCATGGATCAGTGAACAAGGTTAAGTTTTGGTGGTCAAGTCCATATCTCAGATACTATAAGCAATAGGTCTAGTATATTCGGTGTATGGAAGGACTGTAAGATGTACATGTCTAACTGGCAGGTGTCATCTGACCTTGACCTCATTTTCATGGTTCAGTGGTTATAGTTAAGTTTTTGTGTTTTGGTCTGTTTTTCTTATACTGTATGCAATAGGTCTACTATATTTGGTGTATGGAATGATTGTAAGGTGTACATGTCTAGCTGGCAGGTGTCATCTGACCTTGACCTCATTTTCATGGTTCAGTGTTTATAGTTTAGTTTTTGTGTTTTGGTCCGTTTTTCTTATACTTTATGCAATAGGTCAGCTATATTTGTTGTATGGAAGGATTGTAAGCTGTTCATGTCTGCCTGGCATGGTTCATCTGACCTTGACCTCATTTTCACGATTCATTGGTCAATGTTTAGTTTTCTTGGTCAAGTCTGTTTCTTAGAAACTATAAGCAATAGGTCAACTATATTTAGTGTATTGAATGATTGTTAGGTGTACATGTATTTCTTGTTTGGTTTATATGACCTTGACTTCATTTTCTTGGATCATGTTAAGTTTATGTAATAGTTGTAGTAAAGCTTTCATTTAGGACTATCAACATAACATCAATGGTTAGTAAAGAAGGCGAGACATTTCAGCGTGTGCACTCTTGTTCCTTTGTAAGAAATGATTTTTTACTAAACTAGATTGTAGGGATAGGGTGGATGGATGGGTCGAGTGTTAAAACTTATTAGATCTTAACACATATTATTTTGTATCTGTCCTTAGTATGGTCTATTTTTATACCAGTTTTTGTGCCAACATTACATTTATTTGAAATCAAAATTAGAGGGGTAAGTTTATGATTTTGGGAATCTTGTTTTTAATTTTGAATTAACTCTCATTTTGAGTGAGTACTTTTTACTGGACTTGAAGTATGCTAAAAAGTCGATGTATTATTTTTTCCATTTATAAAGAATTCATCTGTATAACTTAATCATAGAAATTAGTCATGGGTTGTGTAGACTTTGACAGTTTACAAATGTAAATCTGGACATACGTATGGAGACTTTTTAATTGTCATTGAAGACCCTGTATTCATTTAATTAAGTCATAGTACATATATCTCTCAATTCTTTTTATTCACATCTGTCATTAATCTGTTGCATCTTTTTAGCTATTCATCGACAGCATGGTTTAGTGTGGTCTATTGGGAAAACGATTCAACTGGAAAACATCAGTTTACTTGATGGTCAAGTAGAAAACAACTCACCACTGAAGCTTGGAGAGTTCCAGTAAGTTTACATACAAGGAATGTCAAATAATCTGCTTAAAATTCTCTAGTCATTAATGATGATTTAAACAATTTAACACTCATTTTTATACTACAGAAAACTATTTTTAAATTAAATTGATTGAAGTTAAAATTGAACAGTAAAATTAGTTTTTCATTCAACTTTTTATTTATTACAAGAATATTACATTAATCAGTGTGAAAATTAAATGAAGACTTTCAGTTCATTGTCTTTTAAATCTAGCTAAGGTATATCTTGGAACAATTTCCATTAACCTATTGTCTACAATAAAATTCAATTTAATGAAAAGTAAAAGCATGCAATATCTAGCTAAGAAAATTAATCGGCTATGAATTACTTATTTATCATATTTAAATCAGGCATTTATACCAAAAAAGAAAGAAAAAAAGATTACTTTAAAAACGATGATTAAGGAGTAAAACATATGTGTAAATAGTTTATAACTGAATCATATTGGACTTTTAGATTGTTTTCGGAGATAAAACTATTTCCTGATCATCTGACAAAGTGTTACATCCTGATAAATAGCACGATTCACTTGGTCATTCTTCACATGTCAACTCATAAACTCCATCACAAGTTAAATAAACTTTTAGCTGGTAGTGTTGCAAATATTGAATTTATTAATTATTAGATTAATTTTAACTTAACCTGCTTGAATTATAGAATGCAAAGGTGATCATCAGAAGTATATCAATGAACATGTATATTAATGTCAATGTTAATTAATTGAGCAGACAAAATCCGTAAGTGCACTTGCCAAAAACCAAAATCAAAATAACTGCTATTTTTGCTGTTTTTCATCTCAAAATCATTGTCTTCAACACAGAGAAAATCTTACAACTCACAGAAACTAGCACTGGTTTGAAAACAATTTTTAGCTAGATGTCAATCATACTGCTGTACATATGTTTACTGATTTATTCAGTAACGTTTAAACTTTTTTTTGTCAAGCCTGTCATGGAAGCGAGACTGAGTGATCTTACATTCCGTTGTCAGTGGTGGCGTTGTCCATGGTGGCATGCTTCATCAGTGGTGTCAAAATTTATGTTCATTCTAGACCGTTCGGCCACCTAGACTGAACTAAAAATTCAGCTTTCGGTGGCCTAGTGTTACCTTTCCTCATCAATAGAATCTAGAGTTGTAGCACAGTACATGATATGTTAGGCGTGAAGATGGAATTGATTGCAGATTAGCTAACATTCTTTACAATAAACAGTTAAATCAAGATATTGTATGAATAAAAGACTGTATTTAAGATACAGTAGAATGAGTTTCAAAACCTAATTACAAAATTTTTTGAATTTAACTATGTTTTGTACCAGTTTTTGTCGAGCCTGCAACTTTTGTCGCAAAAGCGAGAGATAGCAATCCTACACTCCGTCGTCGGTATCGGCGGCGGCGTCCACAAATATTCACTCTGTGGTTAAAGTTTTTGAAATTTTAATTACTTTCTTAAACTATCCTGGATTTCTACCAAACTTGGACAGAAGCTTTTTTATGATCATAAGAAACTATCCAGAAGTAAATTTTGAAAAAAGAAAAATCCTGTTTATCCGTATTTTACTTATAAATGGACTTAGTTTTTCTGCCAGTTAACATTACATTCACTCTGTGGTTAAAGTTTTTAAGATTTTAATAACTTTCTTAAACTATCCTGGATTTGTTCCAAACTTGGACAGAAGCTTGTTTATGATCAAAAGCTAGTATCTAGAAGGAAATTTTGTAAAAATTATTTCCTGTTTTTCTGTATATTACTTACAAATAGACTTAGTTTTTCTTCCAGTTAACATTACATACAGTCTGCCGTTAAAGTTTTTAAAACATTTATTAGATTCATAAACCATCCTGGATTTTTACCAAACTTGGATAGAAGCTTCTTACAATCAAAATATTGTATCTAGAGGAAAATTTTTAATAATTTTTTCCCCATTTTTGTTAAGCCTGCGACTAACAGCAAAAGTAGTCGAGACACTGGGTTCTGTGGAACCCTTACGATTTTTATTTTTGTACTGCCTTCACATATGTTACATGACCATAATAAACCAAACTATAAACACAACTTAGATATCCAAATTTAGGTAGCAGTTATACTGGTTTTATTCTCTTTGTACAGACATGATGTACATTCAGTGCACTGGAGCAGTAACATTGGACCTACTACCTGCTATTTATCTGTAGTTCACAGTCAGCATGTATCGTTATGGAAAGTTGATGGAGTAGTACCTAAACTGAACTTCAAACAAGTTAGAAAGCTCAATGTACAACCTATTCCACAAGGTTAGTGAAGGATATATGAAAAATGACAATTTAAGGGATACCAAATCTTTTTATTTAATTTTAAACAAAAGAAATAGGTAAAAAATATATAATGATTTTATTGTTAAATTGTGTGCAGGTTGGAACATTTAAATACATACTATCAGTTATATGGTTTGCAACTGTCCCCCTACAGATCCATAGAGGGTAAGTAAATTTCATAGGTGGTGAGGCCAAATGCCAAATCCCCTATGCATTTTAGTTACCCTCTATTGATCTGAAGGGGGTCGGTAGTGAACTGTATAACGAATTTATCGAATACAGGACTTTTCTTGCCAAGTTTTGTATAAAAATAAACAATGAAATACAATAACATTAAAAGATGACGTCATGAGCCCCATATAAAATTTACTGACCCCATACAGATCAATAGGAGGGTCACTACGTGTCAGCTTTAAACCAATCATAAAGTCATTAATTTACCTGAGGTGTGATAATGGTAGTGGTAGTGCAAATTTTTACTCTTTCTTACTTTTACATGTTATACAAAAGTATCCATGGAAGACATCTTGCTAGAGATATACAAATACTTTAAGTGGAAGGAACACAATATAAAATTCAATACTTAACTGACTTTTCTAAACAGTTTACTGTACAATTAGAAGTCAAACCCACATAATATATTTTTTTGGGAGCAAAGGTCAGGATTTAACGCTTCAATAATTAGAAATAATGTCGATATCTGTTTGGTGGAATATGAATAAAGAAAATTTTAAGTTATAAGTAAAAAAAAAAAAGAAAAAGTTTATTTTATTTTTTAGGTTGTTTATGGAATCCAGATAGAGATATTTTATGTGTTTTAGCAAAACAACAATGTAGTTTTTTCTTTCATCATACAGAAGATAAAGGAAGTTTTGCCTTCTCTCCACTAGAAGAGTAAGATTTATGTATCATAATCAACCATAGTCACTGTGGGTATATGCTATGTTCAAAATGGATTAACCTTGATATTAAATTCTCAGACCATCAAAAATGTATGCATGAGGAATCCTGGAGAAAAAACAGCAACAAAACACATACAAGTGTATAGACAATGATTAAGCGATAATGTCTGAAGCAAAATTTTGAAAATATGTAAATCTTTTTCCGTATTTTTACTGACAAATGGACTAAATTTTTTTGCAGTTAGCATTTAGATACAGTCTGGGGTTCAAAAATTTAAGACATCAACAACTTTGTTAATCCTTCATGGCTTCTTCAAGATCGAGAAATAACATCTGAAGAAAAAATTTGATATTTAAATTGTGTTTATGTATTTCAAATGACAACAATAATTGGACTTAAGTTTTGGTAGTCAACTTTACACTTTTTCACTGACAGTAGCAATTGCAGGCAAGACACAGGATTCTGTGGAACGATGTACAAATTTTTATGGAATTTAAGTCTTTTCTAGAGGTGAAGAGCCATGCATCATAGTAAATGTTTGAAAGGTGCATTACAACACTTTAAATGAAGACATTATTTAAAATGGTTGCATTTTAGAAACCAATTTTTTGAGTGATATGTATATGAATTTGATGATAACTGTCATGTAGCAAAACTTTTGATCTATTCTATACTGTCTTATGTTTCCAGATTTTGAAATAGAAATGACTGAATATTTTTATTTAATTTTGTATTTAATACTTATTTATAATTATAAAATTTGAAAGCAATTTTGAAAATATTTTCTTACTTTCTTGTTTTTTGCAAACGTCAAATCTCTATCAAAAAAGCATTCTTATAATGAAATATGACAAGTAACATCACTTTTTATTGGAAGTATTAGAATACAGTACTATATATATATATCTTCACAACAGTCAAATCTACAATCATGAATTGATGATGGTAACTTTTCAAATAAAGTATTGTAATTCCTTAATAAACCATTGATTTTTATTAAACTACAGATGTGTATGATATATTTTTTCCTAACTGTTTCAGTGAGAAGATAAGATGTGGTACCTGGACAGAAGATGGAAATAAATTGGTTTTGTGTATTGGTGCCTGTTTACTAGTAAGATTTTACTAATTAATCTGTGATAGAATTATGAATAATTTATTATCAGTTATTCTCATTCTTTTGGACTCTTTGGGAATGTCAAGTTGATGGTTGATTGATGACTGTAAATAAAGGTTGATGTAACATATAGTGGCAAATATTACATGATATTCAGGATGATATAACGTAGTTATTCATGAAAATGATAAAAAACAAACATGAAAACTTATGTCAGAGGTATATGTGCATTTATAATATGCTAGTACACATTTTTTTTAAAGATACCAGACTCCTTACTCACCTATATCATATTCTGTAAATTCAAAAACTTGTGTCATGTTTTGATTAATGGAATAAATATGACAGAACTTGCAAATATTTTTAAAACACATAATTGGCATGGAAATGATATGAGTCAGTCTCACATTCTGTTTTGTTTTGAACAAGAATTGAATTCTAAATTTACAGTATGCCTAAAATTTTGTAAGGTCTGATTTCAGAATATGTTAGAAATGTCAGCTAGTCCAGACTATGAATAGTGTTTTAATAACTTGTAAAATACAAAGGCCAGATAAATATATAAAATATGCCCGTCTATTTAAATTTCAAACAGTTGTATTATCATTCAAAATATACATCCAACAAGGGTTTAACAGTGATCTCAGGTCCTTAAGCTTTCATTTCATACAACAAGTATCCAAATATTTTACATACCAGTATTTTGAATGTTACAGCTATGGATAGGAACTATTTGTACATTGTATTTTTTTTAATCTTTCAGTTTATTTTCTCATCTGCCTAATACTTGGTATAAAAAAGTAGATTAAAACTTAAGCGAATGGTTGTATTTAAAGTAAGTTTTAAAAGTTTGATTTTGAAATTAAATGTGTGTTTCTTTTACAGTTGTATTCCTGGCCAGATATAGATGAAACTATTAGTAATTATAAGTCAGCAGTATGGAGAATTCCTAAGTAAGTTCTAAATCTTTGTTAACAATAGTTCTCTTATCTGGTGCTACATGTAGTATGATCATGTAATCATGAACTTGCATGTTGGTACACCATATTGAGAAGGTCAGTATCCAAGTGAAAGAAGGTAAATGTAATATTTTTTCATGATCAAGGATCCAGAAATTTTTCCACACAATTTCGATCATTTTGAGAAGACTTGAAAGTTCGGATATTTTCAAACTGTCAAAATTATTCACTCTGGATTCATGACATTAATGAACTTGTATTGACTGGTTTCATCACATTTATTTCATGAAGTTTCTTACCAATTTCAAACATTCAATAACGATTTATGAAATGCAACAGTTAAAATTGAAATGATTTTAATGACTCAAAACGATAATTTTCTCAGGAATTGCCAATGCTTCTTTCTATTTTGAAGACAAAAAAAAGTTTCAAGTTAATACTAAATTACGAGTGATTCCTGGTTCATTTACGGGATTCGTCTTGTTTATTTAATGACAGGAATCATTGTATTTTTAGTTTTATTACCTGTTAAAGTGTTCATATGATGAAGACATAATCTTTTAATCAGTTTAATTGAGGTCTGGAGCTGGCATGTCAGTAACTGCTAGTAGTCCTTTGTTCATTTATGTATCATTGTCATTTTGCTTAGTTTCTTTTGTTACCTATTCTGACATTGGACTCAGACTTCTTTTAAACTGAGTTTTACTGTGCGTATTGCTATGTGTTTCTTTATTCTACATTGGCTAGAGGTATAGGGGGAGGGTTGAGATCTCACAAAACATGTTTAACCCCGCTGCATTTTTGCGCCTGTCCCAAGTCAGGAGCCTCTGGCCTTTGTTAGTCTAGTATGTTTTTTAATTTTAGTTCATTTATATGTTTTGGAGTTTAGTGTGACGTCCATTTTCACTGAACTAGCACATAACTTTATTTAGGGGCCAGCTGAGGACCACCTCCGGGTGCGGGATTTTCTCGCTGCATTGAAGACCCATTGGTGGCCTTCGGCTGTTGTCTGCTCTTTGGTCAGGTTGTTGTCTCTTTGACATATTCCCCATTTCCATTCTCAATTTTATTGCATATAGCTAACAATAGTTTCACTCGTTTAGAGCTAATTTTCTAATGCTTGTAGAGTAAGACTTTGGTTTGCTTTTGCTTTGTTTATATAATGTTTACATGTACAATTGGGTGTTCCTTACCTCCAGGATAACATCCAATCAAATTTAAATATAATGTATACAGGGTTTAACTCCGCCTATCTATATTGTTTGTATTTAATTTACATGTGTTTGGATTACTTTCTTTTCAGTTTAGATGGATGTGTGACGTCCATTGTGTCATTATCAGATAGTATAGTATTATGTGCTGCTGAATTGCCTCTGGAAAGTCTTTGTAAAGTCAAGGACACTTTTGTGATTCCAGGTAAATAATTATTTTATGAGCTTGCCTGTTAGAGTTCTTTGACTCTATGGCAGATCCATTAGTTTCAAGGGAGATAATAACAAGCATATTTGTTTCTGCTGTTATCCCAAAGTACTCTATGGCAGATTCATTAGTTTCAAGGGAGATTTTAAAAAGCATATTAGTTTTGATTATGTTATCTCAAAGTATGATATTTAAGATGATTTGTCACCAAAATTTTTTTTTAAAAATATATTTTGTCAGAAAACTTAATAAATAGCAACATTTGATGTCTTTCTATTTTTTGTACTTTTTAAGCCCCTGTCAGTACATCCAAAAATTAGTTTCTGTTTTTAACTTTAGTTCGCCTCAACCAAATGTTATGAAACTTATACACAATGCTTAATACCACAAAACACAGATCAAGTTTGAAATTTGGTTGTGTCACTTTTACTCTTCTTGAGTTATGTCCCTTTATAACATTATATGCAAGCAAGCATCATCTGTGACCCATGCACACATTCTCCATTTATTTTTAGTTTAAGATAGAACTATCCAATTAGTTCTTGGCTTGAATTGCAACATTCTTTCTACATTGATATTGATTTATATAAGACTTTTCAACTTATATAATCTTCTCTGTAATGTAGTGCGAAAAAAAAAGATACTCAATTATGGCCCATAGAAAGGTGAATATTCAAAATTTTCTACCCTGAAAGGTTATTTCCCGAGAGTGCAGCCAAAAGGGAAATAACATTTTAGGGTTGACAATTTTAAATTTTCACCACTTCTAAGGGGCCACAATTTGTTTTATTATAGCCTACTATTAGTTGAAGGACCTTTCAAACCTTTGAAGATTCCTGCTAGAGAAGCACATTGTCTTACTGTAGCAAAACATTTACAAAACACTTTCATCAGAGAATTATTTTGAATTTCTAGTATGTTCCTCAAGGACTCTTTCTGTAAAATATTGATGGCTCTGAAAAGGTTCGTTATTGAGGGCTATATTAGGAACTGAATGATCTATAAGCCCTGTTTCCTTGTCACTGGATGAATTTCTTACCTGGCTGCTGCGTTTTTATTTACATACATCTGTGACATAAATTTGATGGGAGATAACTCATGTACAAACCAAGAAGCTCAAATGCTAATAGGGTTATTCTTTGTTCTGTGTAAATTTTAAGATTATTTCTCATTCCTCCCAATTAATGAAAATTAACACAATTATTTCATGTCACATGATAATGTATTACACAATAGAACTATGTAAGATGTAATAAAAAGTATTTTTAAATTTTTCATAAAGGTGAAAGAAGTGATAATAATTCAAGTTTTACTCAGATAAAAAAACCTGATGGAAATATGCATTTTTAGCTCACCTGGCCTAAAAGGCCAAGCGAGCTTTTCTCATCACTTGGCGTACGTTGTCCGTCGTCGTTGTCCTTAAAGGGGCACTAGCTGTCAAATTCATGTTCATCGATTTGACTCAAATTCTCATATTTGATTTATAACCATGTAAAACATTTATCCAAATTATAAAAAGTCTGAAATTTACAATTTACAGGGCCCGGGGTCGATAATATGTATCTTCGTTTCGTATGTATTTTAGTCTAGACGCCATCTAATTAACTATCGTGTTGACCTTAGACGACCTCTGATGACCATATAAGCGATATAAACATAAATATAGATATAAATAGATATCTAAATGGTGCAAATGGATTTTTTTAGGTCTGTTTAATTTCATATTATAGATTGAAAATATATTTTAATCATCGTTTTTACCTGTATACGAATGAGTTTTTGTGAATCGAATCAGTCAATCAAATGATTTACCTTCTTTCACTTTCAATGTTGACATGCGTTATCCATCTCTAGCTAAGGGGTTAAATTTAGGTTCACATGAATACAGATTCAATGAGGTCGAATGGTTGTTAAAAGTGAATTATTATTTCATTATTTCACTTTCATTAATGATTGAACAAAAACAATCATACTTTAGATTTTTTATATATCTCGTAGCTAGTACCCCTTTAACTTTTACAAAAATCTTCTCCTCTGAAACTACTAAGACAAATTTAACCAAATTTGGCCACAATCATCATTAGGGCATCTAGTTTAAAAAATGTGTCCGATGACCCTGCCTGCCAACCAACATGGCCTACATGGCTAAAAATAGAACATTGGAGTAAAATGCAGATTTTGGCTTATATTTCTTAAACTAAAGCATTTACAGCAAATCTGACAAGAGGTGAAAATGTTCATCAGGTTAAGATCTATCAGCCCTGAAATTTTCAGACAAATCAGACAACCCATAGTTGGGTCAATTGACCCCTTAAGGAGTTATTGCCCTTTATAGTCAATTTTTAACAATTTTTTGTAATTTTTGTTATCTTTTACACATATCTTCTCCTCTAAAACTACTGAGACAAATTTAACCAAACTTGGCCACAATCATCATTGGGGTATCTAAATGTGTCCGATGACCCCACCTACCAACCAACATGGCCAACATGGCTAAAAAATAGAACATAGGGGTAAAATACAAGTTTTGTCTATTATGTTTAAAACCGTTATAAATAGAAAAAATCTGATATGTTGGTAATCCATATGATTTCAACTACACAGACATTTATAACTGTAAGTTTTAGTTTTTGTTGTATATGCAGCTGCATTCATGTACTGTAAATTCAGAAATTATTGCAAGGTTTCTATTAATGCGAATAATGTGACTGGATGAGAATTGCAATAATAAGAACTAGCATTCTGATATCTCTTATGTATATCTGTATGCAGCTTTTCCTGAAATTGCAATAATTAATTTGCATTTTTGTCTATTCTTCTAAAATCACAAAAATAAATGCACGCAATAATTTCTGAATTTACAGTATATAATGAGTTATCTGTCAGTCTTGTATTGTCTTGTATTATCTGTATCAGGAAATCAAGCTAGCCTGAAATATATTTTTAAGAACTTCAATAGAATTGACAATGGAAATGGGGAATGTGTCAAAGAGACAACAACTTGACCAAAGAGCAAAAACAGCTCAGGCCACCAAAGGGTCTTCAACACAGAGAGAAAATCCTGCACCCAGAGGCGGACTTTAGCCTCTTCTCTTTTAGTTTTGGCCAATTTAAACTGTGTTCTTGAAATATGGTGTAGATCTCTGGCCTATGAGCTGACTTACTTTTTTTGAGTACTACCATTTAATTTGATATTTTATATGTTAACATCCTTTTGTATTAAAAGTAAGATTACTTTTATACATTCAGCAATAAAATTCCAAACAAAATAGCAGTTCATTTTATCTTAGGTATTAAATATGGACAGTATGAAACACTTTCAGATTTAAATGAAAACACAAACAGTTTACAAGAGGATATAATCTCACCAAAGAAATCTGTATCTGCAACAGAAACGTTGTTCAGCTTACCCAGAAATCCACAGTTTGACATAGAATCTACAACTCAGCTGGTGACAGTTAGTCTAGAAGATGAAAAAGATCCTTGTAGTATTTCCATGATGGGGATCAAAGGCATACTTACACCAGAACTCTTGGTTTATATTGTAAGTGTAATGTTTTTATGATAAATTTCTAAAGAATTTTATTAACTGCATTCATGAGAGGTTTGTAGGGAAAGAGCCCATAGCAGTCACATTTTGTCCTATAATTGTTTGACAACTTTGGGTTAATATGATATATGTCATTGGGAAAAAACATAACAACACAAAAAACAAAACAACATCTAAAGTTTTACAACAAAACAACAACACAAAAAACTAAAAGACATCTGAAGTTTTCTTGATAGGGATCAATCAATGCCTATGACAAATCTTCTTTGTTTACATGTGTTAAAATTGAAATTATTTGTAGCCACATGTATGCATGTACAAGAAAAGAAAACTAGTAAATAACTTGGAGTCTGGACACTGATTTTTGTGAAATGGCTTTTTGATCTTATTGCCATATTCATCTAAAAATTTTAAAGTACATAACAATTTGAATGAAAGAAGATTTGAGGTTTACATCAATGAGATAGCATCTATAGAGGGGTGTAAAGGGGGGGGGGGGGGGGGGGGGGGGTATCTGCATGGAAGAACGCGAAATAAAATTGCCATTTCATGATGAAAGAACAATTAAAAATTTCTTGCACGTTATTCTTTTTACCGATTTCACAGTGAATAACCAACCTTTCTCACGGCTGCACGTGAAATAAAAATGGCAAAACACGTTGCACGAAGATAACCCTTTACCACCCTCTCTATAGACTTCAGTCATCCTTAGATTTTTGTATTTAAAAAAAATTTCAAGTCTTAAATTCTGACTTTGATTGCAATAATTTATTATGATTTATTATTCTTTTTCAGCCACATATAAAATCGGTTGTTGTTGGCAGTAATACACAGAATTTATTGCAAGTTTTTACATTTCAAAATGGCAGCATTACATCAGGCTTAACAAAAACAGCAGAAGTTGTAAGTTTTCTAAGAATTAAACAATATCCAACTTCTCAAAACGTTCTCCTCATAACTAGCCACAAAATTTTTTTCTCGCATGCTACTAAACGTTGGAAAGTGAAATACAATTATGAACTCTTGCTGCCTTTCCAATGTGGTCATCAAAACCATAAATAGATTGTTTTCTGATTATGTCCATTTTAGAAAAAGTTTTCATGATAACCCTATTTGGTATATTTATGAAGAAGTATTAATGAAATACTATCGATATATGGAATGCATTTGTATTATCATTTATGTACAGATTCGTGGACACTGACATTTGGCAGTTTATCAAATTGATAGTTTTCAGCAAAGCAGGTGACAAACCAAGTATATTTTTATACGCCCGTTTACGGGATGTATTAAGGTATTATTTCCCCTTTTATAGTGGTTTACAGTGCATTCTGCATAACAAGCATCTCCAGTTGAATGGTATAAACAAACAAAAAAATTTTTTTCCTAATCATAACAATGTATTAATACAGTAAATTTCCCATCAGGTTGTTTGTGCTGAACAGTTCTCATAATAGGAAGTCAGGCCCTCACATGACAAAGATATTCCAATACAGTTATAATTTAGTGGTAGGGAGTTACTGCATAAAGAATTTGATATGTATTTTTTTGTTTCTGAAGGTCAGTATTTAGAAACAGAGGTGGAATTCTGTTAGTTTTTTTTTTATGCTGGGATTACTTTGCAGTGATTATTTTCATCTCAATATTATTTCAATACATGTAGACACTAGACAAACAAGAAAGACCAAAAGGAATATCTCAGATATTACCTTCCTCTACAAACCAGACTGGTATCCTGTTAGCAGTAGGAAGAAGAGCAAGTTCAGATTCAGCCTTCCTGTCATCAAGTTCAGGATCAGCTATGGAAATAAAATTGAAATTCTATCCTTTTACAATTGGTATGTTGCTTATAAATATATATATACACAGATAATTAAAACACCTTTGATAATAATAAAAAAATATATGTCAATAACAGTTGACAGCTTTTTGTCTGTAGAGTTAATTTGTAATACATGTATCATTGTCATATGATTTTTGAAATAATACAAAACCCTAATGAACAACTTACAGGAAATGTGGTATGATTGCCAATGATAAAACTATTCACCTAGGAACAAAGGAACAAGATGTAAACAACTACAGGTCATCATACATAACAATGAGCAGAAACCTATACTGTTCAGTAAGCTTCAAAAGTACCTAGGATAACAAAATACGAAACATGTTTGTGAGCGCTTAACTCTCTCCCTAAAGTGGGACAGTGGTGTAACAGCACAACATTATGTAAGTCGATTAAAATTCATTTGAATAGGGCTTGACTCATCAGATGGGTTGATTGATTGTTGTTTGCTTAAGGGCCAGTGACAAATATTTCATGCATGTTCAGGATGAACATCAGATCTGTACTTAGGATTATAACAAATAAAAACTAACTAATGACCTGATTAAACCTAGTACATAAAACAAAACAAAATCAATTATGACAGACAACAGCCAACAGTAGCCACTGGAAACCTGGATTTGGACAGATGAATAAACAAATGTGACAGGGTTAAGCAAGTTTATTTACTCTCAATCCTCCCTTAACCCAGGGCATTGGTGTAACAGCACAACATTAGAACAAACTGTAAAAATCAGTTTAAAAAAGCTTGACTCATCAGATTGATTATAAGGATTATTGATATATGCATTTAATAACTTTAGCAGACAAACTTTTCCAATGCTGTTTATAGGAAAATCTTAAACTTCTTACTTTATGCTGATCTTTGTTTTGTAATTTTGGACGATTACTGCCATGAATTCGGCTTATCATGGTGGATCGTAAAAAGAGAGTTTAAATATCAGCCAATATCATTTGATGCATTGGATATATATATGTTGGTCCAAAAGCACAATGCAAAGTTGTGTGTTATTGTTACTTATCAGACCGACTTTAGATAAAGCTTATGTGATTTTATTTGGTCATACTGGAGAATAATCTATAATATAATGACAAAAGTACACATGATAACATCAGAGTAAGGTTAAAAAAAAATTGTAAGCATGATTGATGATTTTGTCTCCTCTTTTGATAGATAAAAATGTACTTAAGAACCTCAGAGAACAGCATGGATCATTGGAATTTAAAGAGTCAGATAGTTCCAAATCTGTAAAAGAAAATGCTGAAAAGGTTTCAGATACAGTTGACATACCAGAAAATATCAAGGAAACAGGCACTCATGGAAACCAAACTGAAAAATATGCTAAAAATGATTCTTGTGATCATTATGATCGTGATCTTCACATTAGAAAACAAGAAACAGTCACAGAACTCAAAGATTTCTCTGAAACTGATTCCACTGATTCATCTCCAAGAGATATAATCATAGGAAGTCAAACAAAGGGAGGTAAATCATTAGTTGAAGACTTGACTGGTTCAGGGAATTCTGGGAGTGAACTTGAAACTGAGACAACAGAATTTTCTGCTAATACCCCATATTTTCAGAATAACATAGATACATCCTTTCATGACTCTATAAAGGATCAGTTAGTTAAATCAGTCAGTGATCAATATGATGTAGGGGAAAAACCCGTCCAAAGGCCAAAGGTTACAACATGTCTTGATGATTCTGCTGTGTCTATGGCAACCTCTAGTACATCATTTGTAACAAATGCAGATTCAACAAAGGAAGAAAGAATGCAACTTGAGATTGATAAACTTGTAAGTGCAGTAAATGAACCAAAAACTCTCTCTTCTTGAAAAGTATAAGATATCAATTGATTTTTCAAGTGTGATTATTTGAAGAATTTCTCCATTTTAGGTTATATTCATGCTTAAAGAAACTTTTATAAACCTTCTGAATATTTACATCAATAAAAAAGTCAAAATTCTTTTTATATTTTAATGAGAAATAGCAAATAACAGGACATAGTTATGACTTATGTACAGTGCATCTTTAATATTCATAGGTCCATGGGAAATGATAATCATTATTAACAAAACAAAGCAATAGATTTGATTCAATTTTGTTTCAGAACCACAGAATAGAAGAATTGAAAATGAAAGTAGCACATCTTACTGAGTAAGTATTACGAATCAGATTCAGGATAATAATCCTATTCTTTATGATAGGAAAATTTTAGGATAGTTGTGATCGTAAACTTCAAGGCATTATTGACTATTTTATAATAACTGTCTGACACTGTAAGACAGTTTATGGGTAAGTCTAACTTTGAGATATTTTCAGAATAATTGTGGTCACTTGGACAGTTTGTAGAAATGTTGTTCTACATTTAAAGAAGGTCATAAGATATCCTAAGATAACTGTGTTATTACCATTTAAGACAGTTTAAGGATAAATGTTGTTCTACACTTTAAGAAGGTGATAAGATATCCTAAGATAACTGGTCTCACCATTTAAGACAGTATAAGGATAATGACGGTATTGTTCTTTACGTCAGATTTTGAATAGGTAGGATCCTTTAGCTCTTTCTTCAAAATATTGTATGACGAATTGATTATAAGTGTACTGAATTTTTCCAGACTAACAAATTATTTTTCATGCAAGATGTTTTTGTTATATACTCTTGCATTTCTGGAAATGATACATTTTTTTTTTATTTTCAGACTTATCAAAGAATCTACTATAATTACAAAATACCAGCCACAAAGTCAGCCAGGTAATTTTATATCAGTTGTTTTGATTTGATCTTTCCGTGTCATTGATATTCCTGAAATTATATCTACTAAGTGTATACAGCTATATTTGTTAGTTGTCTTCTGCAGCAGAAACGTGTAATTCTTAGAACATCTTAATTACAATTACTTATTTGTGACTATATGTCACCTTATGTGTGTGTTGATTGTATGCAAGTTATTCATTTCACAACAGAAACATTTGTGTAAAAAGACTTTAGCTTGAAAATCTATGAAGAAAGAAAAAAATAAGAAAACTGGATGGTATTTAGTAAAATGGTTGTAAAGACACCTATCTATTGTTGAAGACCCTGTGTTGACTTCAAGATGTCTTTTGGTTTTTGTGTCATTTTAAGCTACTGTCATTATTCATATGTACTTTTATTTACATAAAACACTGTTTCTAAATTGTTTTCAGAATTAATACAAATACATTGTAAATGTCCTGGCGTGGAAACAAAGAAAAAATCTTTCCTATTAGATAATGGTAGATTACAGTATGAAATTGTTAAAACAGCATTCGAGCTTACAACATTAGAGATATTTATTGGTAAGTTATGTTTCATCCTCACAACATGTAAAGTTTTGTATGGCAAATAGTATCAGGCGTAAATTTCATATTCATTGAAAAAATGGGGAAAACAGAATTTAAAATGTTTTATCATAAATAAGATAAACTTGACACAAGCTTTATTAAATACTTAACCTTATTACATTGAAATCTATCCAAACCAATTCCGTTAAAAAAAAGTTCATAAGAATTAATTGGTTGTTTAGTTTAGAAAGATTACATAACAAAAAATATTAAGGTTTGCATTTTAATATAAGAGCTTAGTTTTCAATAATTTTTCAGTTAAGGCAAATTAAACAATATTCAGGACGAGAACACGATAATGTGATATGAATATAAACTCTGCTTTGTACTAGACAGACACACTGAGCTGGAATGTTTAAAGTGCTAGTTCACAAGGTAACAGTTTGCAAAAAGACACGTCACCTACCTCAACACATTAATCTGACTTCCAGCTAACCAGTCTTTACTCTTACTCCTAAACACTGTGTGCTTAGTGGAGAAGCAGCAAATACCAATTTTTTAAGTTTATGGTTTGACCTAGGGGGGGTTCCAACCCACGACCTTTTTCACTCGAGGCTAGCACGCTACCACAAGACTACGGAGCTTGTCAAAAGAACATTGAAAAAACAGGCATACATTTACTTTATTTATTAGTATGAATTTGTCTTATTTGTTTGCAGATGATGAACCATGTGTAGTAAGTGCTAACATTGATGGTTACATTCCAATAAGATTCACTCCATCATCCAATTTAGTCATCACAGGAAACTCTGAAAGGGGAGACAATACAGCATAGTGAACAAAAAAGGATTTGTGATATTCAATATCGATGTGTAATATGTCTGCAGAAATCCAATGTGTGGTTGAATCTATACATTAAAAATGTTAAAGTAATCACACAGATTGATTGAAGTGACTCTACTTAATATTTACTACCAGTTTCTAATGGACCATTTTGAGCAGCTGTCAGAATTTTTAATAGTTTTTGTAACATTCTGAATAGAATTGACTTGTTAAAAGAAAATTGTTTACCGGTACATAAATTCCATACAAAAATATCATTGCTGTATAGATCTGAGTGTTTTGTATATTATAACATATATATTTTATAGTGTACATACCAAATGTGTTCTACATGTAACTTATGCAATATTTTATATGTTATTGTTAGATGTTTTTTTACATTTCAATTTATTTTATTATTGCTATTTGACAATATATAGCTTCATAAACATGAAGTTCCTAAAAAAAAAATTGGTATTGTTACATTTCTGCCCTTTTTATTTCTAAGTTGCATGCCCTGTATTACATTATGGGCCCATTACTTATTTGATAAGGGTCTTGCTGGATATATTTAGGCTAAAAGTCTGAATAATACTGTATAGTGCACTTAGGACAAAATATTTAACATATAGTTAGGATCACTCAAAGTAAAAGTTGGCTTATTTAAAAACAGACATTCTTATTTTTATGTTGTTGGGTTAATGTCTCTCATTGATACATCACATCTACTCTTATTCATATTTATTTTATAAAAAAAGTTAGAACTGATGAAAATAGTTTATCTTTCTTATCCATGATAAAGAAGTCTGTGTGATGTGTCTAATCAACCTTCACACACTGTAAATAACAATGAGCAGCAATTCCCTTTAAAAATAAGAAGTTACCGGTACTTAAACATTGCAATTGAAGGTTTTATATGTTTGAATGTATGTGCTTGTTTTTATGTCTATTTACAAGCTCTATCAAAAATAATAATCATTTTTTCAAAATATTTCCCATATTGTTTTGACAACTATTAATGTCATTGATTTGTGTATAGATAATGAATATTAAGTTCCCTAGCTAATTTCCTTTTGGTGTTTTTTTTTTCCGAACAAAATCTCTAGAAGAAGAAACAATATTAGACTGAATTTAATTCATGCTTCATAAAAATCAGCAAATGATATATTTTATAAAATAATTAAGCATTATTTAATTTCAGTCAAAATATTTTAGAGATGCATCATGCTAAAAATTCTCTAAAATTAGTGGTCTTACATGAGTTATCTCCACTTCATTTTATATATGTTAACTAAGATTGATCTTACATATACAAAAAGACATACAAATTTAAAGTTCAAAAATTGCATCTTTGTAGATAGTCAGTCATGTGATAGATTCAAGCCATATCTGAGTTCTATATTTTAATTGTATATCCACAAAATAATGTATATTGTAAAAATTGTCCTATGTTAATTTTGTATATACTGCATCAAATTACACTGAAGACTTGGTTATAATTTTTTTATAGCAAATCTTGTTATAGAGCAAATATTTAATGAGATTGTTGACACAGAAAATCTAAAATATTTTGTCCTTTAGTGCCTTATGGTGACATAAAATCAATGATCAGTAAAGCAGGCAAGACATTTCAGTGTGTGCACTCATATTTTTTTTGTGTATATCCTTTTTTGAAGTGGTATAAACATAAATTGTACTAAAAAAATTTCTACACCAGGAATAGATTACCTTAGCTGTTTATGGCAAAACCAGAATTTGGATCCTCAATACCCTTCAACTTTGAAGGCTTTTAACTTTTTTGATTCAAGCGTCACCGGTGAGTCTTTTGAAGACATAGCATGCATCTGATGTACAAAACCATAAGCCTGGTATCTTGGATGAGATTTTATGCCCCAGCCTTAGCGGAGAGGGCATGAAGTTTTATCCTTGTCTGTCTGTACGCCCATAAGTACGTACGTCCTGAAATTGGTTTTAGTTCTCTAATTTAAGTTTGCATCTACCAAATGTTATGAAACTTATACACAATGCTTATTACAACAAAACACAGATAAAGTTTGAATTTGGGTGGCGTCACTTTTACTGTTCTAGAGTTATGCCCCTTTACAAATGGAAAAATTGCTGAATTTTTCGTTTCCATTCTTTTAACTTAAGTTTGCCTCAACCAAATATTATGAAACTTATACAAAATGCTTATTACCACAAAACTCGGATCAACTACGAATTTGGGTAGCGTCACTTTTACCGTTCTTGAGTTATATGTGCCTTTATAAAGTTATATGCAAGCGGGGGCTTTATCTGTGTCCCATGGACACATTCCCCATTTATTTAGTAATGGGGATATTTGTCCATTTATCCAATAGTGTTTTGTTCCACTCACAATAGTCTTAATACAATGATGCTACAAAGTTTCCCTCAAAACTAATGGGAAATTCCATTTTCATTATTTTCTCTGACATTACATGACCAATCTGAATCAAAATTAAGAGAAACAAAATTTGGAAGGTCATTCATAACATTATTTCATTTGTTAATTAGTGAATAACATGACAGTAAAGACTTAAGCTTGAATTGTGCTTTGTCATGAACATGCATGAAATATTTGCCACTAGACATTAAGCAACCAACAATCAATCAATTGAATTGTGCTTGGTAAATTTGTCTCCTTTGAAATTACAAAACCAAATATTTTAATCTAGATTCCTCATTTGATGCTGATAGGCAGGCATATGTAGTAGTAATGATGACATGCTCCTATCAAACATATGGGGAAATCATTTTCTTTTTTTCCTTTTGAAAGTAAATGGATAGTTAGAACCAAGCCTCCCAGAAATAATGTATGGATGGCCTTATGTTAAAGATTATCTTATTTTGTTCTAATGTGGCAAAAACATGGCTGCCACATAAATGTCTTCATTCTGATTAGTTAAGGTTCAAGCTTCTTCTCTTGAAGCTACACAGGAAACTTTTACACAATGTAACCACCAAACACAGATCAAGTTCGAATTTGGGTGACTTTCACCCTTCTCATGTCCCTTTATTGACTCTTGCATATTTACAAGCAGAGACATCCGTGTCCCATGGAAACATCTTTTATTTGTTTCACAAATATTCAGGGCTGTTTTTAGACATGATATGCATATTCTCTTTTTTATGATAACTGATTTGTAACATATCAGATAAAAATGTAAAATAATATGTCTGTTATTCATCACACATATCTGTGTATTCCTAAAATGTCTTTCTTATATCTTATTTGTTTTATAAGTATACATTCCATATTATGCTTTGAATAAAAATTCTTACTTATTTACTTTTTGTTTCTTTAAAATGTTCTGTGCAATACTATGATGTGTTTTTATTGTCACCAATAAGTTACAGTATGATGTGAAACAACTCAATTCTCCAAGTAAAAAATCAACTGTTTTCAATACCACTTAAAACTTTTGTACCAAACAAAATATAATAATTAATTTTGATTGGTTTGATATCAATTAAGATTAATAACTCGTACTGTGAATTAATTATTATTTGATAGATACAAATTTTCATGGATTTCGTTGGTAAAAGTGAACCACAAATTTAAACGTTTAATGAAGTACAAATTTTCTATATGTAAACTTTGGCAACACCAGGGAATCAAATATAAACAAAAAAAAAACATTTTTTTTCTCTACCTCAAACAGTATCACTAGCCTGTCAACACTGAGGTAATGAGTTCAAATCCTGCATGTGGCAGGTGCGCTTTACTCCAATCTTAATTGACTAGGATTGTTAGTTTTCCTACCCATGGTCCCGTCCCTGGTTTTCTCAGGGCACCCTGGGTTCCTCCAATAAAAAGTGACTGCCATGAAATAGCACAATATTGCTGAAAGTTACGTCAAACACCAATCAATCAAAAATTTGTACCCATGAAAATTAATGAATCCACAGAATACTGGTTTACCCAGAATTGACAAATGTAGGTTCATATGTTCAAGTCAAATTCTTTTCCAAAATGAATCCCGTCTATAAACACCGGTCTATTGCTGAAGACCATCAGTTGACCTTTAGATGTCTTTCTTTTTCTGTTATTCCTGAGTAATAAAAATCAGAATATTAACATAATATTCCTGCTAAATGGAACTACAGTAAGAGATTTCAGCAATCATAGACATAGGCTCCTGATATACAAACTGTTTGCATGTAACAGGATTTACAACCAAGTTTATACATGTTTTAACCAATTTAATTGCATTCTGTCAGTTCCATCATAAAAAAGTCTTAAGAATTAAAGAAGGCAAACTGGTTGGATGACAAGATTGTTTGAAACAATTATGAAAGGACTTAATTCCAAAACAATTCTGAAAGGACTAATTCCAAAAAAATTCTGAAAGGACTTATTCCAAAACAATTCTGAAAGGACTTTATTCCAAAACAATTCTGAAAGGAATAATTCCAAAGCAATTCTGAAAGGACTAATTCCAAAACAATTCTGAAAGGACTAATTCCAAAACAATTCTGAAAGGAATAATTCCAAAACAATTCTAAAAGAATTCCAAAGCAAACCTGAAAGGACTAATTCCAAAACAATTGTGAAAGGACTAATTCCAAAACAATTGTGAAAGGACTAATTCCAAAACAATTGTGAAAGGACTAATTCCAAAACAATTCTGAAAGGACTAATTCCAAAACAATTGTGAAAGGACTAATTCCAAAACAATTCTGAAAGGACTAATTCCAAAACAATTGTGAAAGGACTAATTCCAAAACAATTCTGAAAGGACTAATTCCAAAACAATTCTGAAAGAATTCCAAAGCAATTCTGAAAGGACTAATTCCAAAACAATTCTGAAAGGACTAATTCCAAAACAATTCTGAAAGGACTAATTCCAAAACAATTCTGAAAGAATTCCAAAGCAATTCTGAAAGGACTAATTCCAAAACAATTGTGAAAGGACTAATTCCAAAACAATTGTGAAAGGACTAATTCCAAAACAACTCTGAAAGGACTTATATCAAAACAATCCTGAAAGAATTCCAAAGCAATTCTGAAAGGACTAATTCCAAAACAATTGTGAAAGGACCAATTCCAAAACAATTGTGAAAGGACTAATTCCAAAACAATTCTGAAAGGAATAATTCCAAAGCAATTCTGAAAGGACTAATTCCAAAGCAATTCTGAAAGGACTAATTCCAAAACAATTCTGAAAGGAATAATTCCAAAACAATTCTGAAAGAATTCCAAAGCAATTCTGAAAGGACTAATTCCAAAACAATTCTGAAAGGAATAATTCCAAAACAATTGTGAAAGGACTAATTCCAAAACAATTCTGAAAGGACTAATTCCAAACAATTCATATTCATCCTTTATTAACATTGGAACCATTATTAAAAGAACCACCAAGTTGGACTGTTGAAGTCATCACCACATAAAAAATAAAAGAAGTCTACCTATCAATGATTTAAGCTAACTTAATTTCAAACTGGTCTATCATTTTATGAGAAAGTTTTGCTATAAGAGAAGGCAATAGTATACAAAGTAAAAAACAAAATAGTCATCTTGTTTGAAATCTCATTTATTCATTTTATAAAAATATGCTGCACCATATATTAACTGTTTTATGTGTCTCACACAAAATAACTTCATTTGCCAAAAATGACATTGTATGTACATATAAATATATATTTATCTTAATAATGACATAACAAGAGTGCACACGCTGAAATGTCTCGCCTTCTTTACTAATCATTGATATTATGTTGATAGTCCTAAATATAAAGCTTTATTACAACTGTCACATAAACTTAACATTAACCAAGTAAACTAAACATTGACCAATGAACCATGAAAATGAGGTCTAGGTCAGATGAACCATGCTAGGCAGACATGTACAGCTAACAATTCTTCCATACAACAAATATAGTTGACCTATTGCTTATAGTTTAAGAAAAACAGACGAAAACACAAAAACTTAACATTGACCAATGAACCATGAAAATGAGGTCAAGGTCAGATGAACCATGCTAGGCAGGCATGTACAGCTAACAATTCTTCCATACAACAAATATAGTTGACCTATTGCTTATAGTATTAGAAAAAAAGACCAAAACTCAAAAACTTAACTTTGACCACTGAACCATGAAAATGAGGTCAAGGTAAGATGACACCTGCCAGCTAGACATGTACACCTTACAATCATTCCATACACCAAATATAGCTGACCTATTGCATGCAGTATTAGAAAAAAAGACCAAAACTCAAAAACTTAACTTTGACCACTGAACCATGAAAATGAGGTTAAGGTCAGATGACACCTGCCAGCTAGACATGTACACCTTACAATCATTCCATACACCAAATATAGCAGACCTATTGCATACAGTATAAGAAAAACAGACCAAAACACAAAAACTTAACTATAACCACTGAACCATGAAAATGAGGTCAAGGTCAGATGACACCTGCCAGTTGGACATGTACACCTTACAGTCCTTCCATACACCCAATATACTAGACCTATTGCTTATAGTATCTGAGATATGGACTTGACCACGAAAACTTAACCTTGTTCACTGATCCATGAAATGAGGTCGAGGTCAAGTGAAAACTGTCTGACGGGCATGAGGACCTTGCAAGGTACGCACATACCAAATATAGTTATCCTATTACTTATAATAAGAGAGAATTTAACATTACAAAAAATCTGAACTTTTTTTTCAAGTAGTCACTGAACCATGAAAATGAGGTCAAGGACATTGGACATGTGACTGACGGAAACTTCGTAACATGAGGCATCCATATACAAAGTATGAAGCATCCAGGTCTTCCATCTTCTAAAATATAAAGCTTTTAAGAAGTTAGCTAACGCCGCCGCCGCCGCCGCCGCCGCCGGATCGCTATCCCTATGTCGAGCTTTCTGCGACAAAAGTCGCAGGCTCGACAAAAATGATGTTGCCTTATAAACCTCAACCAATGTTTACAAGTTTAGGAAAATGTGTTAAAATATGAAACAAATACTCAAATACAAAATAAATTACTGTGATTCAGAAATAATGCTGCATATAATTTATAAATGGTCAAAGACAAACAAAATGTGAGGTTAATAAATACAATTTTAGGAAATAATGCTTACAGAATTTACAAGGCTAGTTCTTATTTCTGGTTTACTTATCCTGTCACATTTTTGCAATAATAAAAACAAACTTTTCTAGAAAATCTGTTTTTTTTTTGTCCTCATACATGTCAACAATTAAAATTCTCCTTGAGTTAAGACATCTCAATACAGTTCGTTTCCGATTTTCAACACAAAGCTCGTATTTGAATTGTTCATTACCGAGGAAAAGTTACAAAAAACAAAATATGATGAGCAAGGATTATTTAACAAGATAATTTTTAGGTACTTGATTTGTTTTAATAATTGGGTTTCATAAATTGTTGATGAACAAACAACACCATGTTTGAAAAATAAAGACGAAAAGACAAATCCACAAATCACTTCAAGGAAACTAAAGATTGAACAACATGAACCATCCGAGGGGATGAACTCTGGTGCTAAGGAATGAAACTAAAGATAGAACAACATGAACCATCCGAGGGGATGAACTCTGGTGTTAAGGAATGAAACTAAAGATTGAACAACATGAACCATCCGAAGGGATGAACTCTGGTGCTAAGGAATGAAACTAAAGCTTGAACAACATGAACCATCCAAGGGGATGAACTCTGGTGCTAAGCAAGATGATACCATGAAAAGATTCAAGACATCAATCAAGAAAAGTCTTCAACAATCTAAGAATAATTTACAATAATCAAAGTGTTTGTGAGCACTGAGGATGCTTTAAATTTGCATTGTGAACTTAAAATACTTAGAATGTATATAGGAGAGATATTTTATATGCATGATAGATAGTGACTAATATTAACCCAAATGAGGCATGTGATCAAATATAAGATGAACAGCTAATCTCCTTAATATACAGGATATCAAAGATGAGGATATTGTATGGTAATACTTTTACAACAACTTCCTGTAATAGCTTGCAACGAGGATAGTGGAACTATGGAAAAACCAGCAAGGATGATCGAAGTCCAACATGTTCCAGAGATGATAGAAGATACTAAAAAAAAAAGTAAGAAAAAATTGAGGATTCTCGTGATACAGAATCACCATTATCATAGTCTATTGATGAGGGGTAGAGAAACATTTGGAAGCATCAGACCACATGAAAAGCTGATTTCTATTCTTAAATACAAGAGTTATCACACAAGTAAACTGCAAATAGTAGCACTGGAGCTAATATGGAGGATGCTGATAATAGTTCGATGAATAGAAGTCAAAGGTCAACTGCTGGTACAACTTAATCCATTGATCATACTGAATCAGCTCTCCAGAATAAGACCATGCAAAGTGTCAAACATAACATGAATGTGTTTTAGAATACATAAATCAATTTCAGTTGATTTTGGTTAATTCATTACAATATAAGTTTCAAACAATTTTGTAGTAAAATTTATATTATGTATGGTTTGTTTGTTCATTTTAGACATGTTAGAAGGAATATGAATAAATGTGGAATCAACCCAGCAATCCTATTTTCATATTTTGCAATACATGTGTATACTCTGGCCTTTGTTAGTCTTGTATGTTTTTTAATATTAGTTCATTTGTGTGTTTTGGAGTTTGGTGTGACGTCTATTTTCACTGAACTAGTACACAATTTTATTTAGGGGCCAGCTGAGGACCACCTCCGGGTGCGGGATTTTCTTGTTGCATTGAAGACCCATTGGTGGCCTTCGGCTGTTGTCTGCTCTTTGGTCGGGTTGTTGTCTCTTTGACATATTCCTCATTTCTATTCTCAATTTTATCTTCTACTTTGGAGTAGTGATATTTATGATGTTAAAACAAAGAAGGGGAGTCCAATATATATGTTTTTTGTGACAAATCATTGTATTTTTAAACACAAACAGTTTTCAGATTTTGTCATTGATAGTGTAGTGCTAACCCCTTTTATTTAAAAGTATGAAGACATATATTCAGAGAGTCAATACTCATTATTTGAAATGAGTAAGCAGGATACTAGAATTACCATATATATAATAATCTGACTGTCAAAAACATGATGAAAATACAAAGTTGATTTAAATGCAAATTAAAAATGCTTAAAATTGAAAACTGAAAAAGGACTGTATATCATCAAAGATGAACATGATGAAAATGGTCATCTATTCCTCAGTAAACCTTCAATTTCATATTAAGCTTTATTTAACACATTTGTTTAGGCAAGTTTTTATTTAAGTAAGTACTTTGGGAAACTTGTCAATAGTTTTGTATAAAACATTTGTTCTGCATGTAAAAAGATAAAACAAGCGGCTTCTTGGTTTATCTTGATTTATGTTTCACATATTAATGTTAATTTTAAGTAAGTTGCTTAAAGAGAACATCACTCCATAAGTAATGAAATTCATTTATATTCTTCCAAATGTGTCCTTTGCTTTATAATAACCTATTTACCAAGTACAACAACCAAATGGAAAAAAATAAGTACTACATAACCTTGAACCCATCTATAATGTGTAAGTTTCTATATTTATGCTTAAAATATAAGTTGTTATGGCCATGAAACTCTGCTTATCTTAGACTTCTTCTTTGCTGATTCTTCTGTTGATGGAATTGGCTGAAATGATACAATATCATGAATATATGCTTAATGAAAAAATACAGAAATTGTTGTTTCTATTGACAAAAGCAGCTAGGTTACTGTCTCAACACATTTACTCCATTTTACCTTCAACTTGTAAGAGGATGACAATTAAAACACACTTTTAATATCCAACAGGAGTGCACATGCTGAATTGTTTCGCCTGTTTTACTTATCATTGAACTTATGTTGAAAGTCTGTAATTTGAAGGTTAAACATGTGTTTTACTGCAAGTATCACATAAACTTAACATTATCAATGATCTATGAATATGAGGTCATGGTCATATGAACAATGCCAGACAGACTTGTACACCTTACAACCATTCCATACACAAAATACAGTGGTCCTATCGCTAATAGTACCTCAAAAATAGATCAAACCACAAAATCTTAACATTGTCTAATGAACCACGAAAAAGTGGTCAAGGTCAGGTGAAACCTGCCAGACGGACATGTACACTTTATAATCATTCTTTACACCAAATATAGTGTCCCTATTACTTATAGTATCTGAGAAACAAACAGACCAAACCACACAAACCAAACATTGTCCAATAATCCGTAAAATTGAAGTCAAGGGCAGATGAAACCTACCAGTTGGACATCATCAGGACATGTTCACCTTACAATCATTCCATACATCAAATATAGTTGTCCTAATGCTTATAGTATTTGAGATACAGATTTGACCCCTCACTGATCCATGAAATGAGGTTGAGATAAGGTGAACCCTATCTGACAGACATGTTGACGTTGCAAGAAACCCATACACCAAATACAGTTATCCTATTACTCATAATAAGTGAGTATTTCACTTAACAAAAAAAACTGTTTTTTTCAAGCAGGCACTGAACCATGAATATGAGGTCAATGACAATGGACATATGACAGATGAAAACTTTGTAACATAAGGTATCTGTATTCAAGGTATGAAGCAGGTGAGACAAAAACTCAACTGAGACATAGAAAAGTTAATGAAACAGAAATTGCAGGTATAAGTGATCTACTATATACATTTACAAACTACTTAATACATTTATAAATTCCATAGTTAAGCAAAGGACAAATTAATAAATGCAGTATCTAAATAAATGCTGCAAATAAAATGTAAAATATAAATGTTTATTATGTGAAGCTTATCAGTTATGCACTTGTAAAACAAATACAAAAAAAATCTTTTTAATTTACAGTCTTCCCTTAGTTATATGTGAGGTGTTCTTATAAAATGAATTATGATGGTAAACAATAAAAATCCAAGAAATGACCTTGGGCATAAATTTCACCAATTAAAAAATATGCAGGTCAAAAGTCGGTGACCATATGATTATTTTATATCATTAAAACGGAAATTTTCATACCAGCAACATATAGTTTTTTGAAGAAAAATCTATTTATTAGAAATTAGAGATTTGACGATTTTAAACAAATTTAAGAAGGTTTTTTGCCAATTTTATTTGCTTTCTATACAAATGTTCACCTATTTTGAAAAAGTCCAATCAGTAAAATTTCAGATAATAAATTAAAAGAGATAAATGCATTATTTTTTCGATTTTCATTTATAGTTCAACGAGCCAAGGTTGTATGAAAATTTTTAGCAAAATCTGTGACATAGCTCATTTACTGTTTCTTGATCTTAAGAAACCAAATTACCACAAAATTGGTAAAATAATGAAAAGTTTTTGCCGCTCAGTGGAAGAATAGGGTACTTCCAAATTACATATTTTGAAGGTTAGGAGTTGCAAAAGAGCTATACATAATAAAATCTTTTTTATATCTTTGTGGTAAAATGCTTAATTTTTCCATTTTATTCAGTGATCTTTATATGTACAGTATTGAATCAAACCTAAAATTATAAAGGCATAAAAGGAGGAACCCTTATCATATCTTTTTCTTAAAACTGCCTCGGTGGTCTCATTTTAGACTCAAGTGTGGGAAGACTTTAAAATAGGTATTTGCTGCTTCTCTACTAAGCATGAGGCATTAAGAAGTAAGAGCAAAGACTGGTTAGCTCTTAATCAGAATAATATGTCTGGGTAGGGTGACCTGTCTTCCTTCAGACTGTTACCTTGTGAACTAGCACATTAAAAATCTGGCTAAGGATGTAGGTCTAATAAAAAGCAGGGTCAATATTCAAATTCCGTTAACATGTTCTTGTCCTGAATATGCATTTAATTTTCCGCTGGACAGTAAACAATTTTGGGTTGAGTGACTCTCCTCCTTTCATACTTATCTATGTTTATTTGTTTACAATATTGAATAACTTTGTAGTAATAGGCTGTACATTATACCTTTGTATTTTCTGATTTATTGTTGACTGTAGTCTGCTCTTCTTTACTGTTTAGGTCTGTTTTTCCACCCAAATGTTTGTTGATAAGACTGACAGATGACTGAAAACTTGCTACTTTATTTGGAGAAGTTGGTGAATTCAATTTAATTTTCTTCAATTTCTGATTTTCTTCATTTATGTCACTACAAGTTGATGAGTTGAGTTTAATTTTCTTTGGCATGTCAGGTGATACAATTTTGTCATTCTCTGTTGACGATGAATTTAATGTAATTTTTATAATTTTCTTTCGTAATGTTTGTGTATCTTTGCTTTCATTATTTAAATTAGTTTTCTCAAGCTTTGCTGTTAAACTCTGCTCAGTTTTGTTCTTAGAACATAATGAAATTTTCTTCTTGGTAAAGTCTATACAAGATGGAGGAGGCTTCAGTCGATCACTAGCAGCAGATGAAATATTGTAGGATGAAATAAATCTTGAATTCGAATCAACAGATGATTTCCTGGAAACAGAATAATTACAGACAAATATTAGAAACTGCAACATTAAATATCTATCTCAATAAAAGAACAGAGTTCCAATGTCCCCCCGCATTGCACATATTTGATCTGTCCAAGGGCAAAACTTTTTTTTTGTTCTTTAAAATTTTTTATAAAGATCTTACAGAAATGAAGGCTTGAGAGCAAGTGCAATGCAATTTCTGATGTATTACCAAGGGGCATAACTCTTAAAAAATATTTGAAAAGCACTGATTTTCAAAATTATCTGAGACATTGCTAGAATAAACCGTTTATATAAATCTGATAAAAAAATCTGGCAAAAATTGCACAATGCAATTTTCAATATAATTAATATTTCCAAAGGGATCAATGCTTTTAAAAATAGTTGATAGGCACTGATTTTTCAAATTTGTCTGAAACAGAGCTGATATAAACCTATGATATATGTTTCATAAAAATCTGGCAAGAATTGTACACGAGAGCACTCACAATGCAATTTTCCATATAATTAATATTTCCAAGGGCATGACTCTTTTAAAAATAGTTGATTGGCACTGATTTTCGAAACTGTTTGAGACATTGCTTATATTAACCTAAGATATAAGTTTAATAAAAATCTGGCAAGAATTGTATCCGTTAGAGCGCTAACAAGACCAGACAAACAGACGGATGCCAAGTATTTCTATGTCCCCAGCAACGCCTCATGCGGGGGACAAAAAAGTATGATTGTAAACAAATATCTCTTTTTACAAATATATGTACAAAATGATTATACTTACTTTTTTGGTGGTTCATTATCATCTTTAATTGCCATCTTTCTCTTCTTTGCCATTATCACCTGTTTCTTGGTCATCTCCCGTCCCCGTCTGTTCATACGATATTTCCTCTGAGGAAGTGGTAAAACATATCTATAATAGAGTTCTACTAAGCCTTCCTTGCATAGTGATGACAAGTCTTCATTTTGTATGTATCTCTGAAATAGGCAGAATCTGATACTTAGTTAGAAATTATAAATGATCAACATTACAACATACATGTTTTGTTAGTTTTTCTGCTTTGTATCAATCTGATGAGTTAAGCCCTTTTCAACTGATTTTTATAGTTTGTTCTGATGTTGTACTGCTACACCACTGTCCCAGGTTATGGGAGGGTTGATGCCTTCAAATATGTTTAACCATACCACAGTTCCCTTGTTCATAATTGTTAACATAATATTTTAAAGCTATATAGTTATTTTATTAGATTACATCCATTAATATAATGTATTGTTATCACAGGGTAATAAATAAAGAATCTGTAAGGCCAGGGAAAAATAATTGTTGGTTTCCCTTAACCTGACCGGGTCTACTTTAAACTGCCGGGTCATTTATTTTTTTCGACTGAATTGAAAAAAAAAAAAAAGACTGTGTCTAGGTGTCTAATTCCGATCCAGCATTGTTGACAAATATTTTTTCATATACGTTTCAGTTTTGTTGTTTAGAAGCATAACAATGTCAAGGTAATTTTTTTCTGACTTAGCTTCTAGATCACTGAAGCGCTTAACTGATAGGATAAATAACAATGATTTAAAGCGTTTCGCTCCCCTGTTGTTTAGATCCTCAAAACGGTCAACTTGGCACCAAGCACGAATATTCTATCAAGATTGAATACATGGACACCAGTTCTTTATGTTATCAAAGTCACCTAAGTTTAATACCAGTTGTCAAGTAATTCAATTCAATTCAATTCAATATTTTATTGGAAAGAGCACAATAGAGGCGTGATCCAAATACAGACAATAATATATTCAACAATATCTGCTATAAATGAAATAAAGATCAATGTAACAAGAAGTCATAAGTCAATTCTAGATATAGTCTATGGATACCATAGCATTCAGAATTCTTAATGATACCATACACATATACAGCATGATTATTCTAAGTTTTCATAATTTTACCTAAAAACACAATCACCTATATAAGATATATGTGTATATGCACAAGTGGCTATAAAGGATTATTATCCGATGAAACAGTATGGTGGTCTCTCAAATCAAGAGCTTCTTCAATATACATACAAATTGATTTAAGTTCTTTTTCAGAATTGGGATTTAAAATTTTGATAAAATTTTCATTCAAATTATTTGAATTTATTTCATTGATTTTATATTTAGATCTAATTTTGTTATATTGAGGACATTCAATCAAGAAATGTATCTCATTTTCAATTCGTCCTGTTCAAAATTTACAAAATCTCTCATTAAAGGATATTATTGGTCTTGCATACCTACCAGTTTCTATTGCTAATGAGTGTGCACTTATTCTTAATTTGGTGAGTTTTTTTCTAAGATATTTAGGAACATTAAAGTTTAAATATTCTTGTTGTTTAAATTTAGTATAAATTTTACTACAGAATAAAAGTTTACCACAGTTTCCATCTTTTATTTTAGATAGTTCAAATTAATATAATTTTGTTTTTGTAGAAATCTTCTAGTTTCTGTTTGAAATTAATATTACAATGCTTGTTTAAGGATATACCAATATATTTTGATAATTCAGATAATTTAGAGTTTTGTCCACTTCAAAAGCAGCCTTGAGAATTTCATGTGGACCAACAGACCGTTCACCAATATCACTGAGATGCACATATATACATAAGTTGATAACATCTAATGTTATTGCTAATAGGTAATGTACCCAATTCACACCGCACTGCTAGATTGGAAGACTTTCCATGAACCCCAAGTATGTTTTTAAATATGGAGTTTTGTGTTTTTTCAAGTTTACTTTTGTCTAATGCTTCAAAATTTGGTTTGAATTCTGATATCCAAGTAAATAAACATTTGTCATAAACGCAGTCTATAGCAACACTATTTGATACACAAAAAAACAAAACAAAAAAACTCCTGCCTGCTGGGCCATGCAAATTTTCCAATGTTATATATATAATTAGGAGAAACCAACAATCATTTTTCCCTGGCCTAACCCTGAGATTGTTTCTTATGTATATTGCCCTGAAACAAGACTACATAAACATGATAATGTACTACATCCACTTCATTTGAACTTTGGTGGATAGTTGTCTCATTGGCAATCATACTACATCTTCTTTTTTGATATTAAGAAGAGATTTGTTTAAACTAGCAATAAGGCTTTTGAAATAGATCCATTTAAGGTTCATGCATGTTCATGTGGACCCTTTGGCTAAAATGGTTGCATTTTCACCTCAAAATTTACTCCGAGTACAGACAAACCTCTGTATCTGGAAAAGTTTTAAGGCATAGCATGCCCTAGATAAATAAAATTCAAATATATTTTATGTTTTGGAAAATTTAAAACTTAACAGGATTTTGCACTGCACTTTTTTTTCATTCCTCCAGAAGGTGCCAAAATAAACTAAGTTGGGAAAGAGGTTTGAGAACTTCCCCACAGCTAATAATTGAAGTGAACTGTATTGATTGACATGGACAATAGATAACTGACAATAATTGGTGATTTAAACTGTGTACCTGAGTGGACAATATCAAGTGAAACACCGGTAGGTCTTTTCACCACCGAACACCGCCGAACACATTAAAATACTATCTAACACACCTATATATATTGTTTTCATCTTTATTTATATACATTGTATTTGACTTACCTTCTGAACGAGAATGAATATGTTTACACATATATATATACACAAATTAATAAGAAATGATAACAAGAGAACCAAAAAGAACAGTCTAGCAGGGCTGTTGTCAGAACAGTACACTTTCAAGTCTAAATTTTTTTTTTAAAGAATTATTTTGATAATTTCACATTAAATAAAATGTTTTAACTTATTTGAACAATTTATTTCTAATAATTGAAAGTAAAGACCATAAGATAATATACAATGAAATACAGACAATGTCTATCCGGAAAAAATATTGCTGGATCCGGAAGCGTTTTTTTTTTTTATTCTAAACTTTTACATCACTAATGCACATAAAAATGTGAAAAACATGACAATAGGATTAAATTTTACCTAATTTAATCGATTTTATTGTTTTATTGTGTAACATTAATGTTTTTCTTAAGGGTTAGTGGTCTTTTTGGGTGTTCGGTGGTGTTCAGCAGGGTGCGGTGGTGTTTGGTGGTGAAAAGACCGACCCATTGAAACACAATTGTTTGTTAATTTTATCATCTTCTGCAGGGACGAAAAAAGTGCACTGCAAAATCCAGTTAAGTTTAAAATTTTCTAAAACATACAATGCGTTTGAAATTTATTTATCTAGAGCATGCTTTAAAACTTTTCTAGATGCACAGATTTGTCTGTACTCGGAGTAAATTTTGAGGTGAAAACGCAGCCATGTTAGCCAAAGGCAAAGGGTCCACATGAACATTAAGTCAAGAACAAGCTGGCGGCCTTTAAGACATTTTATGATAAAGTTGAAATTTAATGCCATATTTTGCCATAACATTGAACCTTGTCCTTTTTGAAAGGTTTTGGATAGAAATAGGGAGGGAGCTTTAACCTTTAGGCTTTACTGTTTACATCGCATTCCTGTGCGACCAAAATTTATCAGACAATCACGGGAAGCACTAATGACAGGACGATTGCCCGGATAGTGACAGGACGATTGACCGGATGAGATATAAATAGTCATAACTTTTTTGTTATTCGGTAGATTTTTTTAATATTTGTAGACCTTAGAGAGATTAAACTATATTTTATGAAAATAAAACAAAATAAATGAAAAAAAAAAATTTTGAGCAAAAAAAGTTGACCGGACGGATTTCACACTCGCCGATATACGCTATACATATATTCAACTGGTCGACAACAGGTGTTAATATCTCTTTTGTTTTACAATATTTGTCGATGAAATTAAGGAATCTGTGAGAATAATAAATATATAATACGAAAATATAAACCTTATAGTAAACAAAAATGTTTTTCTGCAAAAAAAGTTGACCGGACGGTATTGACATTCGCCGATGTACGCGTTGATTATATTGAACTGGTCGACAAAAAGTGTTTATATTTTTTTGTTTTACAATATTTTTACATGAAACTAAGAAATCTACGAGATCAATAAATATATGATATGAAAATATAAACTTTACAGTAAAAAAAAAGTTTTTCTTCAATAAAAGTTGACCGGACGGAACTAACATTCGCCGTTATATGCTTTAAATATATTGAACTGATCGACACAAGTGTTAATATCTCTTCTTTTTTTAACAATATCTGTCCATGAAATTAAGAAATCTACGAGATCAATAATATATGATATGAAAATATAAACTTTATAGTAAAAAAAACTGTTTTTCTTCAAAAAAAGTTGACCGGACGGATTTCACATTCGACCGATACTTGCTCTAAATATATTGAACTGATCGACACAAGTGTTAATATCTCTTCTTTTTTACAATATTTTTAATAAATATATTATATGAAAATATAAACTTTATAGTAAATAGTTTATATTACTATATAACAAATGGAATTGTATATTTGTTAAAATGGTAAAAATTGCGGCAACAAATTATTCGCCGACCCCTTCCGTCTGCCAGAATTTTTCTGCCTCCTGCCAGAGACATATAATACAAGAGATTCGCAACTCTAGTAGAGTCTATATAACAGCCAATGAAATGACGTGGCCAACGGAAAGCCGATTAATCCGATGGATTTATGGGTAATAACCCGTATTGTTGTGTAAAAGGTTCTACGCCTCACGATTTTTCTAATGGATAATGCCGATACCTTTCACAGCTAAAGCATGCAAGTATATTTAAAAGTTACAAAAAACTAATTCTAATAATTTGTTATTGATAAAATGTGTTCTAATGATGAGATTAATCAAATACAAACAAAGTTAAAACTCGGCCCATTTTACTTCACCTATTGCCGTAGAAACCATTTGATCTCCCAATTTTTTTCTTAAAACTTGAAAATATGCTAATAAATATATAATTTTATGGGCCAATAGTACTCCCAAATGTTGTTTCGTGACTGAAAATA